AATCAACTGATTTATTACAGCTGGGAGGCAGGAAGAAGGTGCCGGACACTTTGGGGAACTGAATAGACTGATGATGATACCATATCTAGGGGAGTGTCTCTGTTTGCTGTGCTTTTTAAGAAAATTATGATAATAAGTCACACAGTACTCGCATAGATAACTGTTGAATTCTTAACAGATGGCTAGAGAAGAAGGTAGGTAGATTGAATTTAAAGCATTCCAGTGTACAAACAGCAGGCTCTTGTTAATTTAAAGCAAATGAAAATTACTCTTTTTAAAAATGAATTTTGTGTTCCTGCTACTGTAGTAAAATGTAGTGCCTCCCTTTTCAGTTCCAGCTACTAGTATGTGGCTATTGTTACGTTAACTCCCTAATGGTATATAGAGTACTGTCTCTTTCTTGTTTGTGCTCTTAGTGAGATTAGTTTTTTAAAGATACGTAATACCAGTTTCTGTCAATTCACAGTAAGTACCATTTCTTATTCACTAGTTTTGCTGCAACTTCGTAATATAAAATTAAACAGAGAAAATGTCATGTATAAATCAATATCTTGTCAAAATGTAGTGCATTTCCTGTTGCCTTTGATGCTGTTTTCTAAGGTTCTGTGAGCTTAGTTCTTTTTGTTGGTGGTGTTGCCTCAGTTGGGGAAAAGTATTTAGAAGGTAATTTTCTGCAGTCTGTAATTATAAGGCACCTCTCATCAAGCCTGTTGTCTTAAAATGACTCAGAATGTGTTGTCAGTCCTGTTTTGAGTTGCTGCTGACCTTTCCAGAAAAGGAGAGTAAGTGAAGATACTGATAGAGGAAGCTTTCTGGCGGTGACGTGCCAGTGTGATAGCAAAACATTGCAGAATAGGTTGGAGAGTGAGTTCTTAGTTCAGACTGCCAGTGGCTATTTTTATCATTATCTTGCATTTCGGTGATTTGAGGAGCTGGAGTTGTCATGCCGAGTGACGCATATTGGTTAAGTATCTTCTCCTCGCCTCTCCACAAAATCTCTCTTGATTGCAGCAGTAACATCACAAGGTAATATGGAGGCACTTTATTGTTATTTGATATTGAATATTGTGTCATATAATGGAGGAGTGTTGTATTTGATACCGGTATTTGGAAGCTAGCTTTACTGAAGTTAGGGAATTGATTAGAGCAACATAGGCACCAGCCTGAATTGCTCTTTTGGCCTAAATCTGTTCCACTTGAAGCTACCTGACAGAGTTGTCATGAAGGAAGGCTCTTAAAAAAGCAGTAAGAGGAAGCATTGACAAGTGTTTTGATACAAGTATAAATATTTTTGCTCCAAATTAAAGACTAATAGTGTATGTTCATTTTTAAGTGTCTCTAGAACTTTTGTTATGTTACCGTTGTGTAATTGGAAGTCTGAGAGTTTAAGCACCCCTGTTTAGAAAATGGCATGCTTTCCCCTGAGTGTTTAATCCGGTCAAGCGTGCTCCGTACAGTAAGTGATGCAGAAAGCAGCATGCATTTGCTTTGAGGAGCTCTAAGACTATCAAAAGAGAGCACAGACTGCCTTTTTGCCGATCCAGAGGCAGTTTGTTGTTGTAATTGGACATTTAAGAGGAGAGGAGATGAATATATAAAGTAGAAATTGTACAGAAACTGAAAATGGCTTTTAATCAGCGCTGTCACATGAAATACTGCATGCAGATGTCTGCTAACTCCAATTAGAGTGCAGTCTTCCCATGCACTTTAATTTCTGAAACTTCTGCTGAAGTTGGAAGCAGAGTAGCTGGAGGCATTGGCAAGACTGCAAAGTGTCACAGACTGAATCAGTTGAATTTGTATGATATGCCACACCTTCAGCACTGTTGTGCAAATCATGTAATTGTGAAAAGTACTCCGGAACAGCTCAGATGTGGTATTTCTCAACAACTTTTCGTAGACTCATGAAACCACAGGGAGCCATGCCTCGCCTAAGTGAGATTGCAGTCTTCTAAGCACACCTGTGCAAATCTGAAGAGTTTTTCCAACTTTTTTTCTGCATGGTTGAGGATTCATTAATTGTTCTCACTGGACTAGTTGATTGTTGAATGTAGAATTTGAAGTTATTTCTTTAGAAGAACAACTGCAGATGGATAGGATTGTGTTAGCTGAAATGGAGATTTGGTGATTTTGGGTTTTTTTTTAGAGGGGAATTGCACTACTAAAGTATGCTTAAAACTTGCTTTTCAGATCAGTCAGTTGAATACATTTTTTTCTTAAATAACATAGTTTTGTTAGATATTGAAGAGCAATTCTGGCTGTAGACTGGTATTTTGTGCAAAAGCTAAATATTTTTGCCTGGCATCTGTTTCTTGCATTCTAACTTCTGTGGAGTAAGAGTTGTAATTTCATCGTTGGTCAGAAACATACATTGTGGCATTTGCAGATGACGCTGGGACCATAAAGACTGCAGAGGAGAGCTAGCACCAGGAAGCTGTTTGGGGCCTAGTGAATGATGATTATGGTGGAAATCATGTGATGAATTAATGAGATTTTCCCTGTGTTTGAAGTAATTTACTAAATTACTGAGTAAATTCAGTTAGTTCAAAATAACCCCAGATATCACTGAATGCTTTATTTATATGTGAGAGCAAATGCTTTGGGCTGAGTAGGAGAACTTTCAAGAACATGACTGTACTGGGGTCAGGCTGCTTTTGATGTTTTGTTTGCCCCCCGCCCCGTGGGTTTTTTTTGTTTGTTTGTTGTTGG